AGAGCACTTCAGCTTGCCCTTCCTCTGACCCCATTTTGCAACCCACGGCCACGCCAGGTCTGTGAGCTGGTGCTGCATTTTGGTGCCATCGCAATAAGAGGACATAACTGCCACAGCTTTTCACCTGGTACATATGCAGCAGGATAACCTTCAGCACAGCTATTAAATCCCCATCAGCCTTTCCTCCCCACTGGGTCGTGTTCACTCCCATCCTCACCCTGGTCCAAAGGGGAGGTCAAACCCCAGGAACAAGGCTTGAGCTGAGTGGCAGTTAGCAAGAGATTAATGGCCATGCATAAATACCTGTTCGGGCAGCCTGGTGCTTCAGCCTGTCTGCTGCGAATCAAGTCGGTGAAGAGCAAATGCGTTTCATGCCAGGAACCGGGGGGGATGAAATATGGGTGCAAAGGAAAGATGCCCCTTGGAGTTCAGGGCATCCTCCTTTTCGCTGCCCCATTTCCTGCGTTGCTGCAGCGAGGGCTTCTGGACAGATCCCAGCCTGCCAACCAAAGCGGCAGGGATTTCAAAACACCACGTTCTTGGGGGCAGACAGCTCTCCAAGATGTTATGTGCAATGCACAGCGATTTAAGTTAGATCCTTGAACAACTGGGAGGAAGCAATGGCCATCAGAGGCTGCCCTGCCATCGTGTGTAACAAATAATAAATGGCTCTGCCTTAGCTTGTCCCTCCGCAAGACAAGGATCAGGCCTCCTCCTGGGACAGCGGCAGGAATCTGCTAGCTGCACAGCTGTGCTGCTTGGGAAGCCCTACACGAAGAGGACTGCCTAGTTTAGCCCGGTCCCAATACACTTGCTTTCTCCTGCCCCCTCCACATTTTTATTGGCTTTGACAACTCTGGCACCAGCGGCCCTATCTGTGCTGCTGAATCCTTCAAGAGACGCTGCCCCGATCTCTCCACTCAGAGAAATCAATGTGGTCCCATGGTGAGCATGGGTTGCAGTGAGGTGGCGTCATTATAACAGAGAGCGTGGGGCCCCCACTCTTCGCAGCCAGAGGAAACAAGCAGTGCATTGACAAAACAAATGCTGAACAGCTACGGGAAGGAGAGCCTGGTCCAGGCCCACTTCCCATCCTCTCCGCAGGTACCCCTGTATGACAGTCACTTGGGCAAGGCCTGTGCTGCTTGCCAACCCACCCTCCGAGTGTGACCCCAGCAATTAGGCAGGTGACGCATGTGCCTTGGTGCTGCTCCCCGAGCCCGAAAGGAGGATGAGATGCTTGCTCAGGACCTCGCTGTGCGGTCTGCTCTGCCTAGCTGGGATGGGGCGTGAGCCAGTGGCTTGTTCGGTAGCAGTGGCCCCGGGCTCGGCAGGCAGACAGCATGGCGTAGCCGCCCCGCGCTTTCGTCAAGGGGAGAGAAAAGTTCCCTCTGCTTTACAGAGGAATAAAAATGCAGTGAGGCCTGGGAGACGTGATCCCCGCCTGGCAGCAAGGAGGGACGGTAGCACTCTGCAGGGGGGCTTTGGGGCACGAAGGCAGCATGGGAGCCGAAGTGGGGAGAGAGACCCCACTTGGTGATAGCTGCATCCCTTCTGACCCTGCCCAAAACACAGCCCTGCCCGCTGCCCGCCTCAGGCTACATGTGCCCAAAGGCCAACTCTGTGGGAGGGAAGAGCAGAGTTATGGGTCGAAGGCTGGTGCAGAGCAAGTGCCGGATGTGCCCCCAGCCAGGCACATCGCTGGGCTCTTGTCTCCTACGTGCTGCCCATCACACCACCACTCTCCCTGTCTCTGCCCACATCCCATTTGCCTCTGCCCCTCATCCCAGCCCAGGCCCCAGGCTTTCCTTCCACCCACATTGCCCACCAACCAGCAGCAGAGCTCCCCGCTGCTTTCTTTAGCCAGGGCCTGGAAGAGACACGTGCTCCGGGAGCAGACAGAAACAAAAAGATGATGATTTGGGCTGTTTTGTCTCCTAACTAAAAGGTTTTAATGGGTGTTTCACTTTGCAGAGGGCAGTGATTAAAAACCAATTACAGGGTTTTACTTTAGAGGAAAAACGGTGATGATTGTAATGGCCCTTCCTCGGGCCGCTGGGAGGTCCCCGGGCTGCTGCTCCCTGGAGAGCTCGGGCATGGAGCATCGCTCCCCCGGGGACTCACATTGTGGAGGTGCAATCTCTGTGAACCGCGGGTTGGGAGGGACTGAAGCTGCCAAGCTAGATGGAGAAACCTCAGGAGAATGAGAAGCACTTTTGTGGGAACAAGGCAAGCAGAGCCAGAAATACTCCTGTCTGCTCTCCAGCCCCTGCCGCTGCCTCCCCCAGCTGGGAAGGAGCTGGGAGAATGCTGCCTCGGCCATCCCTCCTCTCAAGCCAAAATCTTCCCCAGCTCTTTCCTCCAAGGCAGACCTGCACCGTCTGCCGCCGGGTGCCCTGCCCAGCACGGGGCGTACTGCAGCACTGAGCAGTGACACCTGTCCTGTCCCCTGGGCAGAGCCATCACACTGAGGACGGTAACTGCAGTCTGGAGAGAAGGGGCCACCCCAGCAAGGACCGCTCCGACGCTGGATGTGTCCACTCCCACGGACCTCCGGTCTGCACTGCATCAGAGAGCGGGGAGGGGACAGTCCATGTAGGTAAAGGCAAACAGCAAATCTATTTTCTAACCCCCGTATCCCCTGCACAGGCCAGGGCCAGAGCATGGGTGGGACAAAGTGTTTGTGGAGGAAGGACAGCCGCACTGGGGAGCTCGATACAGGCTGGTACAGAAAGCCCAGCTTGGTCGCCCTATAAAGGTTTTATGTGTGTGCGTGTGTGTGTGTGTGTATATATATATACACACACACATATATAT